GGTTGTGTTATGGGCATGGGAATTTTGGTTAAGTTTCGTTGGGGGTTTGTGAGTTTTGTTGTTTTGCCGTTTTGTGAGTGTGTTGTTGTGTTGTTTTTCATTTTGAGTAGATATGTTTGTACCTTGTGGGTTGTGTTATGGGCATGGGAATTTTGGTTAAGTTTCGTTGGGGGTTTGTGAGTTTTGTTGTTTTGCCGTTTTGTGAGTGTGTTGTTGTGTTGTTTTTCATTTTGAGTAGATATGTTTGTACCTTGTGGGTTGTGTTATGGGCATGGGAATTTTGGTTAAGTTTTGTTGGGTTTTTTTGAGTTTTGTTGTTTTGCCGTTTTGTGAGTGTGTTGTTGTGTTGTTTTTCATTTTGAGTAGATATGTTTGTACCTTGTGGGTTGTGTTATGGGCATGGGAATTTTGGTTAAGTTTCGTTGGGGGGTTTGTGAGTTTTGCTGTCCGGTTGAACCAACCTAACAGATTTATATATATAGATTGCCCTCCCAAACCTGCTGTACGCCTGCGAGACTGTCTACAGACGTCACGTGCAACTCCTGGAATGATTCCATCAGGAATCCATCAGGAATTTGGAGTTGTAGTTTACCTACATCCAGAGAGCACTGTGGACTCAATCAATGATAGATCTGGACCAAACTTGGCACAAATACTCAGTATGTCCAAATCAGCGCTGCCTCCAGAAAATCCTGCAAATCTCTTGGGAAGTCAGGCAGACAAACAGTGTGCTGGAAGAAGCAAAGACCACCAGCATTGAAGCGATGGTCCTCCGCCATCAACTCCGCTGGACCAACCACGTTGTCCAGATGCCTGACCACCGTCTCTCAAAGCAGTTGCTCTACTCCGAACTCAAGAACGGAAAATGGAAAGTTGGCGGGCAGGAAAAGAGATTGAAAGATGAGCTCAAAGCCAACCTTAAAAACTCTAGCATAGACACTGAGAACTGGGAAGCCCTGGCCCTTGAGTGTTCCAGTTGGAGGTCAGTTGTGATCAGCAGTGCTGAAGAATTTGAAGAGTGCGAAAAAGAGAAATGTGCCAAGAGGAAGGCGTGTCAAGCCAACCCCGACTGAGACCACCTTCTACCTGGAAACCAGTGCCCTCACTGCGGGAGAAGATGCAAATCAAAAACAGGGCCGAGTAGGATGACCTTGGAAGACCATCCTACTCGGACATTGAGGGTTTGCCTAAGGATCTGTTGGGAGGGCTCGGATTGTGACTTTCTGAATGGCTGGTCTAGATGGCCTTTGGGGTCTCGTCCACCTGTTATGGTTCGAAGGAATGCCAGTTTTGGCTGGGATCTGCCACCAAGAGAGAGTGCTCCTCTTTCCATCTCCCAGGCTCCCTTCTCCCTTAATGGTAGAGGCGGAGGGATGGCAATGCATGCTCTCTTTCTGCCGGCTCCCTTTCCTTTCCGAGCAATGACCTCATTTAGAGCAGCAGCTGTCTGTCCCCGAACATCTGACCTTGATCTCCCTGCAATGTCTCACTGGGTGGTTTGGGGATTTAACATAGTGCATGTGTGTATATGTACGCCAATAGGAAATCAATGAAGACTTGCACAAAGCATGGCAAAAGTGATACACCCTTCAGCAGCTCTCGCCACCCATTCATTTCCAAATGTGCTGTTTTCGGGTGTGAGATGAAAGTCACAGCCATAGGAAAGCGGGGAAGGAGGGGCGAAATGCACAGAGAGAATTGGCAGGGCTAAGAATAGGCACCATCGAAGCCGGCATGGGGCAAATATTGATTTGTGCTAATGGGATGCGTCTGCAGAGCAGAGGTTTTGCAGGTCACGCGTGGAAGCCAGAGCTAGAGATGCCAAAATTCAGGGTTTGGATGCTTCCAAAATGTGGATGCTTCCAAGGGACATCCATGCCATGCAGGAAGACACAATCAAAGCCCTCCCAACAGATGGACATCCAGCCTCGGCTTAAAAACCTCAGAAAGAGACTCCAATGGGCTCCTGATGCCAAAATCCAGGGCTTGGGTGCTTCCAAAATTTGGATGCTTCCAAGGGACATCCTTGCCATGCAAGAAGACACAATCAAAGCCCTCCCAACAGATGGACATCCAGCCTCAGCTTAAAAACCTCAAAAAGAGATTCCAATGGGCTCCTGATGCCAAAATCCAGGGCTTGGGTGCTTCCAAAATTTGGATGCTTCCAAGGGACATCCTTGCCATGCAAGAAGACACAATCAAAGCCCTCCCAACAGATGGACATCCAGCCTCGGCTTAAAAACCTCAGAAAGAGACTCCAATGGGCTCCTGATGCCAAAATCCAGGGCTTGGGTGCTTCCAAAATTTGGATGCTTCCAAGGGACATCCTTGCCATGCAAGAAGACACAATCAAAGCCCTCCCAACAGATGGACATCCAGCCTCAGCTTAAAAACCTCAAAAAGAGATTCCAATGGACTCCTGCTGCCAAAAATCAGGGCTTGAATGCTTCCAAAATTTGGATGCTTCCAAGGGACATCCATGCCATGCAGGAAGACACAATCAAAGCCCTCCCAATAGATGGACATCCAGCCTCAGCTTAAAAACCTCAAAAAGAGACTCCAATGGACTCCTACAACCAAACAGCTCTCGATATCAGGAAGCTCTATCTATCTATCTATACCAGACGTGGGCAAACTTGGGCCCTCCAGGTGTTTTGGACTTCAGCTCCCACAATTCCTAACAGTCAGTTTGACAAGGGGAAAATAGATTATAAATATTGACCAAGTTACAGAGAAATATTCTGTCCTAACCCACCAGATGAATACAATGGGGCCTTACAGAAGGGGAATTGGGTCTCATGCTTTAAACAGAGGCCACTGAATTATTCATATACAATAAGAGGCTGATGTGGAATAAATTATTGAAAACATCATGCTTCTGTCTGAGCGGTTTAAAGATCATTGTGGCTGGTCTTATAGAGGAAACCTGGGAGAGATACTCTAAGGTTGTCTCTACACTGTGGAATTAATGCAGTTTGAGACCGCTTTAATGACCACTGTTTGTGTTATGGCATCCTGGGAGCTGCTGTTGGGCAAGGCTCTCCTTCCTTCCTTCCTTCCTTCCTTCTTTCCTTCCTTCCTTCTTTCCTCCTCTTCCTCTTGTTTGGGCCCCTGAATGTCAGAGAGAAGAGAAGGAGAGTGGAAGGAAGATAGGAAAGGAGGGAAGAGGACAGGAAGAAAGGGAGAGGAGTGGAGAAGGGAAAGGAGGGAGGAAGAAAGATGGAAGAGGAGAGAGGAAGAGAGGAAAAATGAAAGGTGGAGGATAGAGAAGAAAGGAAGGGATAAAGGGATCAGAGGAGATCAAAGTGGAGGAGGAGATGGAGGGAGGAGGAAAGGAAGGGAGGGAAAGAAGTGGGTGCAGAGAAGGGGAAAGAAAGAAGGAGGAAGAGGGAAAGAGAAGAGGAAATGGGGAGGGAAGGAAAAAGAAAGGGGTAAGAGGGGGAAGGATAGATGAGAAAGAAAGGGCTGGGGGGGGTCAGAGGAGATCAAAGTGGAAATGGGGAAGAAAGGGGAGAAGAGAAAAGAGGGAGGGAGATAGAGGGAAGGAAAAGAGGAAATGGGGAGAGAGGAGGAGTGGAAGAGGAAGGAGAGGGTCAGAGAGGAGATGGGAGTAAAGAAGGGGAAGGAGGAAAGGAAGGGAGGGAGGAAAGTGGAAGTGGAGAAGGGGAAAGAGGGAAGGAGAAGAGGAAATGGGCAGGGAGGGAGAAGAAGGGGAGAGTGGAAAAGATAGAGGAGAAAAGAAGAGATGGAGATGGTCAGAGAGATGGGAGTAAAGAAGGGGAAGGAGGAAAAGGAGGAAAGGAAGTGGGAGCAGAGAAGGGGAAAGAGGGAGGGAGATAGAGGGAAGGAGAAGAGGAAATTAGGAGGGAGGGGGAATTAAGGGGGCTATGAAAAAAGACGGGAGAAAGGAAGGGATGGAGAGAGTCAGAGAGGAGAAGAATGAAGAAGGGAAAGGAGGAAAGGGAGGAGAAGGAAGGATGAGGGAGACAGAAGGAAGGAGAAGAGGAAATGGGGAGGGAGGGAGAAGAAGAGGAGAGTGGAAAAAAGAGGGAAGAAAGGAAGGAATGGAGAGGATCAGAGAAGAGATGGAAGTGAAGAAGAGGAAGAAGGAAAGGGAGGGAGGGAGGAAAGTGGGAGCGGAGAAGGGGAAAGAGGGAGGAAGAAAGAGGGAAGCAGAAGAGGAAATGGGGAGGGAGAATAAGGGGAAAGTGGAAAAGATGGAGCAAGGAAGAGAAGGAGAGTGTCTGAGAGGAGAGCGAAGAAGGGGAAGGAGGAAAGGGAGGGAGGGAGGAAAGTGGAAGCCGAGAAGGGGAAAGAAGGAGGAAGAAAGAAGGAAGTAGAAAAGGAGATGAGGAGGGAGGGAGAAGAAGGAGAGAATGGAAAAAAGAGGGGAGAAAGGAAGGGATGGAGAGTATTAGAGAAGAGATGGTGGTGCAGAAGAGGAAGGAGGAATGGAAGGGAGGGGGAAAGTGGAAGCAGAGAAGGGGAAAGAGGGAGTGAGATAGAGGGAAGGAGAAAAGGAAATGGGGATGGAGGGAGAAGAAGGGGAGAGTGGGAAAAGAGGGGAGAAAGGAAGAGATGGACAGGGTCAGAGAAGAGATGGGAGTGAAGAAGAAGAAGAAGGGAAGGGAGGGAGGGAAGAAAGGGAAAGAGAAGGGAAGAGGGGGAGGAAAGGAGGGAAAAGGACAGGGGGAAGGATAGAGAGGGAGGGAAAGGGAGAGAAGGGCAGATATGAAGAAAGAAGGAGGAGAAGGAGGAGAAAGGGGGAGGGCAAATGTGGCAGGAAGAGGAGGAAGGAAGAGGGGAAATGAGGGAGGAGGAGAGGAAGAAGAGGGAAGAGAAAGGTAGGGAAAGAGAAAGGGAGGAGGAGAGAAGAAGGGAAGGAGGTAAAAGAGGGGGAGGGGCGGGCAGGAGGGTTCTATTTCCGGTCTCTTTCCCCACCTCCCTCCTCTTGGGCAGCCCCTCCCTGGCAGCCCACCTCTGGGGAGTGACGTCACCGCCCTCCCTCCCTCCTCCTTTCTGCGGCGGAGCCTCTCGGGCCGAGCAGCTCAGTTCCGGTCACGTTGCGCTCTGTTTACGCCCCGGCGCCCCCTGGTTGGAGCCCAGAGAGGATGGGGCCCACGGGCGACGGAGGCTGGAGCCCATGACCCCCAGCAGCGCCCCCCGGCTCTTCCTGCCGCCTCCTCCCTTGGCAAAGGTAAGAGGGTGGGAAGGGAGGCGGAGAGCTCCAACTGGGTTTTGAAGGGGGGCCCCAAAGGTCATCTAGCCCAGCCCACAAAGCCATGCAGGCAATCCCTTTTGGCCCAGAAGGCTACAAATCCAATCTGGCCTCCTTTGGATGGCCAGCTCAAAAGGCTAGGTGTCTTTAGATGGAAGCTGAACTCTGCACATGCTCAGAAGCACCATCTAGTCCCTTAACAGCCCCCAAAGCCATGCAGACCATCCCTTTTGGCCCAGAATGCTCTAAATCCGACCTGGTCTCTTTTGGAAAACCAACTCAAAAGGCTATGGGTCTCTAGAGCAAAGCTGTGCTCTGCACATGCTCAGAAGTATCATCTTGTCCCCAAAGAGACCCCCAAAGGTCATCTAGTCCAGCCCACAAAGTCAGGCAAGCGAGCCCTTTTGGTTCAGAATGCTACAAATCTCCTTTGGAAGGCCAGCTCAAAAGGCTATGAGTCTTTAGATTGAAGATGCACTCTGCACATGCTCAGAAGCACCATCCAGTCCCCCAGTGGTCATCTAGTCCAGCCCACAAATGGAAGCTGCACTCTGCACGTGCTCAGAAGCACCATCTAGTCCCCCAGTGGTCATCTACACAGCCCCCAAAGCCATGCAAACAATCCCTTTTGATCCAGAATGCTCTAAATCCGACTGGTCTCCTTTGGAAGGCCTGCTCAAAAGATGATGTGTCTTTAGAGGGATGCCGCACTCTGCACATGCTCAGAGGTACCATCTAGTCTCCCGAAGGAACCCCCAGAGGTCATCTAGTCCACAAAGCCATGCAAACAATCCGACCTGGCCTCCTCTGGAAGGCCTGCTCAAAAGGCGAAGAGTCTTTAGAAGGATGCTGCACTCTGTACATGCTCAGAGGTACCATCTAGTCCCCCAAAGGGACCCCCAAAGGTCATGGAGTCCAGCCCACAAAGCCATGCGAACAATCCCTTTTGGCCCAGAATGCTACAAATCCGACCTGTCTCCTTTGGAAGGCCTACTCAAAAGGCAATGGGTCTTTAGAGGGAAGCTGCACTCTGCACATGCTCAGAGGCACCATCTAGTCCCCGAAGGGAGCCTCCAAAGATCATCTAGTCAAACCAATGAAGCCAGAATCCTCGAATCCCATCTCTATTTCCAGCCAGGCGCCTTTGGAAGGTCAGGTCACAAGGTTTCGGAGGGCAGCCCTACTCTGCACATGCTCAGAGGCACCATTCCCTATCTCAGGCCAGCTCTCCAACTAATACAGCTTTAATGCCAAAATCCATCCCATATTCTTCCCCAGACTCCTTTGAAAGGCCAGATCAGAAAGGTAAGCAAGGAGATCTGGAGGACTGCCCTACTCTGCACATGCTCAGAGGCACCATTTATAGATTCTCTGCACATGCCCAGAGGCACAGAGGAGAGGAGGACTGACCTTCCAGGTGAAACAAAAACAGAGAATCAGGGCTCAAGGATTAGTTATTAGTTAGGTCTATGTTTAATAATAGCTCTCAAGCAACCAGAAACTACATTTTTCCAGCATATAACGGTCCCCATTGGTGCCAGTTAACTGAGAGTCCAATGTGTTGTTGTTTTTGTTGTTGTTGTTGTTAATACCTATTATTCTCTTATCATTCATATACTTCGTTGTTGGTGTTGTCATTATTATTATTATTATTATTATTATTATTATTTCATATATTAATGCAGTTTGAGGCCATTGAAACCGCAGTGTGGGATTCTGGGAGTTGTAGTTCTACCAAGCCTGTGCCCAGACTACGAATCTCAGGGTCCCAAACCCCACAGAAAGGACTTTTGTGTCCTGCTTTGTGCAGCTTTGCAAAACTGCTGAATTTTGGCCCTCCCAAAATGATGCTCCCAAGCGATGCCCGCTTCCCAACCAAATCGAATCATTGGTCCAGATCAGACCAATCGCCGAGGCTGGCAGCCTGGTTCTGCCTTGGCAACCCTCCGGTCCTGAGAGCCCCAAGTCTGGGCGGCCACCCAACCCGACTGCAAGCGTTGCCCTCGGCTGGTGCAGTGTATTTATTATTTATCAAAAGCATCTCTCAAGTAGGGATGGGACCCAGTCAGGGGGCAAAGTGGCACAAGCCCTCGAGACAATCACACAATAGCTGGAACAACCTATAGAGAGAGATATATAGAGAGAGAGACTATTCCAGCTATTTTACTGTATCGAAGGCTTGTGCCATCTTTCCATCCCCTATCTGTCTGTCTATCTATCTATCTATCTATCTATCTATCTATCTATCTATCTATCTATCTATACACTTCAGGGTGGATGGATAGATAGGTAGATAGATAGACAGATATTGTTTTACTGTATTGTGTGTGTGTGTGTGTGTATACACATCGGGATAAAGATAGATAGATAGATAGATAGATACATAGATACTGCTTTACTGTATTGTGTGTGTGTGTGTATACACATCGGGATAAAGACAGATACATAGATAGATAGATACATAGATAATTGTTTTACTGTAACAACAGCTTGTGCCACCCTTCCATCCCATCTATATAGCTATAGCTACATGTGTTTATAGTGTGTGTATACACATCAGGACAGATACACACATACATACATACATACATACATACATACATACATAGATATTGTTTTATTGTATCGACAGATTGTGTCATTCTTCCATCCCTTCCATATATCTACATCTATCTGTCTATATATCTATAGAGAGACTGTGTGTGTGTATATATACACATCAGAATAGAGATAGATAGATATTGTTGTGCCATCCTTCCATCCCATCCATATATCTATATCTTCATCTGTCTGTATATCTATCTATAGTGTGTGTGTGTACACACATAAGGATAGAGATAGATAGATAGATATTGTTTTACTGTATCAACAGCTTTTACCATCCTTCCATCATATATATATATTAGGCCTGGGTAACAACGGAAAAATTTGTTTCTAAAATCGATTTGTATTTGGGGGGTTTTTTTGTTTCGATATTTAAAATAATTACAAAATTTTCCTTTTAAAAAGTTTGATATTTACGAAATTTCGTAAATGGTAAAAATTAACGAATCGATTTCCGAAACAATAACGAATCGATTCGTTAATGGCGGACGCGACCGCGAAATACGCTAAAAAACCTCCAAAACCTTCTGAAGCTTCCCTCTCCCTCTGTTGTTGACTGTTGGTGTGATATTATAATTTGTTTTCACTAATTAAACCATAAAACTGGCCCAGACATGCGGAAATAATAACGAAACGACCTCAAAACAATAACGAAACGAATACAATATCGAAATACGAAGCATTTACAAAACGTTTTTGAAAATTCGTTTTTTTTAAATAATTGCTCCAGAATGGTTCGTTATCGTTTTGTAATTGAAAAAATTAACGAATTATTAACGAATTACGAATTAACGAAACGAAACCGCCCAGCCCTAATATATATACACACACACACACACACACGTACACATATTTACAGATATATGTATACATACATGCAGTGTGAGTATGTGTTTATATATATAAATATATCCACGGATAGATGGATGGATAGATAGATATTGGGTTGTTGTAGGTTTCTTCGGGCTATATGGCCATGGTCTATATATGACCATGGCCATATAGCCCGAAAAAAACGTACAACAACCCAGTGATTCCGGCCATGAAAGCCTTCGACAATACATAGTAGATAGATATTGTTTTACTGTGTTGACATCTTGTGTCATCCTTCCATCTCATTCATATATATATAAAGAGAGAGGGGGAGTTAATGTATACACAGGTGCATATATATATATATATATATACACACACACACGCATACATATATATACATGCATGCACATATGCATACATACAGTGTGAGTGTTTATATATATCCACACCAGGATCGATAGATAGATAGATAGATAGATAGATAGATAGGTATCATCCTTCCATCTCATATATATGTATATGTATGTGTGTGTATATATATATATATATATACACACACACACACACACACACCAAGATAGATAGATAGATAGACATTGTTTTACTGTATCAACAGTTTGTGTCATCTTTCCATTTCATTCATATATGTGTATGTGCATGTGTTATACTTGTATGGATAGACAAACACACGCACACATACACACTTTTCATCGCTGTGCAATATTTCAATATTATCATCCAATCAATACAGAGTTGATGGTATGGCCTAGTATGGGTTATTTTTACTAGTAACTCTCAAGCAACCAGAAGCTACATTTATCAAGCATCTACCAATCCCCATGAATGCTGGCTAACTGAGAGTCTACTTTGTTGTTGTTGTTGTTGTTGTTGTTGTTGTTATTTCCCCACATTCCTCTGTAAACATTTCGGCTTCAAACCTACAACACCTAAAGATTAAAATCCTCGCATTGCATTAGTCTAAATCTAAATGTTAATCTGAGTTGCTGGATTGTAGGCCGATCCTTTGGCAAACCCCATTGCTTCCAGCTCTCATTGCAATTTGCAATTGGATTTAAGCCGTTTTGTTTTGACATGGCCGTAAAAACAAGGCTTTGTTGTTTTAAATACTTGATTGCATTGCAACCAAATGACACAACCCATATGTTCGGCTTTTCCCCCCCTATACCCAGGACCTGCTGTTATTCTATCTATACCGATGTGTTTGTTTGTGTATTTATTTATACACACAAACCTATGATGATACGGTTGCTTTATTAGGCTGGCTAGCCGACGCGACATCCATCAAGCCAACCTCTGAAGGTCACAGGAACAAAAAAAGACAAAAATCGCACCCAGCAGAAGGCAAAGTGCTACTCTTGCAGTTTTATAAAGTGTTGAGCTTTGTGCAAAGCTACAAATCCCAGGGATTCCGTAACATGGAACCAAAGCACTTCAAGGGGCGTCAAACTGCATTCGTTCAACAGTGTAGATTCTTCCATGAGTGGAAATAAACAAGAGCAATGGTGCCGACGATGACTCTGGTGTGGGTGGCTCGTAACCAGTCTTTTGTTCCCTCCAGGCTCGGGCCGTTAAATGCGTCGCAATGGAGACGTTGTCCCTGGAGCACCAGATCCAAAGCGTGCAGCGGCACATTGCTTTCCTCAAGAAGGAACAGATGGAACTGCTCCACGACTTGCACCTGGAGATCCTGCGCTTGCAAAAACACTGCACAGGTGAGTCCCAGCTTGAAAGTCGTGGGCAGACAGGTAGCGTCATTGGCCTCAGAAAGTCCCGTGGAAGTGAACGGTTGTTGTTGTCGTCGTCATCATAAACATCATAATCTATAACGTCGATACCAGGCAAGATTCTGAGAAAGATCATTAAGGACGTGATCTGCAAACACTGAGAAAAGAATGCGGTCATCGCTCATCGTCAACATGGATTCATCAAAAACAAGTCATGCCAAACTCATCTAGATACAGGGAACACCGTGGATGGAGTGTGTCTGGATTTCAGGAAGGCCTTCCTTCCACAAGGTTGTCAGAGATATTACAGATTTATTTATTATTAATTTATTTACGGCATTTATATGCCGCCCTTCTCACCCCGAAGGGGACTCAGAGCAGCTTACAAGATAAGCTCCACTGGCTGCCAGTTTGCTACCGGGCTCAATTCAAAGTGCTGGCTTTAGCCCTAAACAGTTCCGGCCCGGCCTACCTATCCGAACACACCTCTTCGTACGAACCCTCCAGGAAGTTAAGATCATCTGAGGAGGCCCTGCTCTCGATCCCGTCTGCTTCGCAAGCACACTTGGCAGGGACGAGGGACAGGGCCTTCTCTGTGGTGGCCCCTCGGCTGTGGAACTCCCTGCCTAGGGATATTAGATCAGACCCATCCCTTCTGACTTTTCGGAAGAGAGTAAAAGCCTGGCTCTTCGAGCAAGCATTCAGAACCCCGGAATAGATAGTCAAGCTTGAGATGGAGAATGGCCCAGGAACGGCCAAGACGATGAAACGGATGAGGATTGGAATGAGAGGATATAGCTCTTTTTAAATTGTTATTATGTACTGTCTTTTTTGTCTTTTTTGTCTAAATGCATTTAATTGTTTTTGCTGTTGTATTGTATTGATGGCATCGAATTGTGCCGATATGTAGACCGCCCTGAGTCGCCTGCGGGCTGATATGGGCGGGATATAAGTGATGTAAATAAATAAATAATATAATATACATACAATATATTATATTATTAGGATAATACAATATCAGAGTTAAATATTACTATTATACCATTATATTGTAATATTATTCGTAATATTACATGTAATATAAAATATATAATTATTTCATATTATTAGTAGTATTACATTGCATTACATTATAGTATTATAAATACTATTATATTATATTATTAGAATAGCAGAGGATACAAGATGGAACTGTCCCTCTGGCCACCTCTCTCTTCACTCTGGCCCAGAGCGACAGTTGGTGCTGGAGGAGGGGTCTCCAGTTGATGACATACAGGAGACAAATGGAACTGTCCCCTGGTCCCCTCTCTCTTCACTCTGGCCCAGAGCGGCAGTTGGTGCTGATGGGAGGGGTCCCCAACTGATGACATATGCAGGAGACAAGATGGAACTGTCCCCTGGCCCCCTCTCTTCACTCTGGCCCAGAGCAGTAGTTGGTGCTGGGGGGAGGGGTCCCCAACTGATGACATATGCAGGGGACAAAGAACTGTCCCCTAGCCCCTTCTCTCTTCAATCTGGCCTAGATCAGCAGTTGTGCTGGGGGGAGGGGTGACATATGCAGGAGACAAGATGGAACTGTCCCCTGGCCCCCCTCTTCACTCAGGCCCAGAGCAGCATTTGGTGCTGGTGGTAGGGGTCCCCAACTGATGACACATGCAGGAGACAAGATGGAACTGTCTTCTGGCCCTATCTATCTTCACTCTGGCCCAGAGCAGCAGTTGGTGGTGTGGGGAGGGGTCCCCAACTGGTGACATATGCAGGAGACAAGATGGAACTGTCCCCTGGCCCCCTCTCCCTTCAGTCTGGCCCAGAGCAGCAGTTTGCTGGGGGAGGGGTCCCCAACTGATGACATATGCAGGAGACAAGATGGAACTGTCCCCTGGTCCCCTCTCTCTTCACTCTGGCCCAGAGCGGGAATTGGTGCTGGGGGGGGTCCCAACTGATGACATATGCAGGAGACAAGATGGAACTGTCCCCTGGCCCCCTCTCTCTTCACTCTGGCCTAGAGCGGCAGTTGGTGCTGGGGGAGGGGTCCCCAACTGGTGACATATGCAGGAGACAAGATGGAACTGTCCCCTGGCCCCCTCTCTCTTCACTCTGGCCCAGAGCGGCATTTGGTGCTGGGGGGAGGGGTCCCCAACTGGTGACATATGCAGGAGACAAGATGGAACTGTCCCCTGGCCCCCTCTCTCTTCACTCTGGCCCAGAGCGGCAGTTGGTGCTGCGGGGAGGGGTCCCCAACTGGTGACATATGCAGGAGACAAGATGGAACTGTCCCCTGGCCCCCTCTCTCTTCACTCTGGCCCAGAGCGGCATTTGGTGCGGGGGAGGGGTCCCCAACTGGTGACATATGCAGGAGACAAGATGGAACTGTCCCTTCCACCTGCCTTCCTGATGAACCTTCAGGTGCGGGAGCCTGTAACTTCCATTCCACACAAACGCCAGAACCTGCTGGCCGGAGAATATAAGAATTGAGGCTGTACACCAGCTAGAAAGCACAAAGTTGGATTGAGGCATAAAATGAATTGCAAGGTGTCATTATGAAGCAAGAGCTCAGTGATGGAGAACTTTGCTTTGTGGACGCCACCAGAACCTCAATGAATTGCAAGGGATACATTTTCTGCTTGAATCAATTTCAGCCAAGTTCTCATTGTTGGAAATATTAAAAAATTAACTAGGCATTTTTAATTACAAAAATGTGAGTCACTGAAAGAGTTAAATGGGTGCAACAACTCAGTAAAAGCTGTAGTTCAGTATAAGCAGGTGTGTCAGTAGCTTAGTAGCCCTGAGTCTGAGAGAGCCCTCAGTGTGAGAAGGCCTCACTGTGAGAGAGGCCTCAGTGTGAGTTTGCCTCAGTGTGAGAAGGCTTTATTGGGAGAAAAGCCTCTTTGCCGTGGCTTCAGTGGCCCTTTTCTGTGCCATTCCTGGTATACATTTTCAGGAGGAGTGCTTAGCATTGGACAGAGTTCAGGTCCAAAGAGTGTACTCAAGTCACTGTTGACCTTGGTGAAGAAGCGGAGTTGAGACTTTGCAATTCCCACGAAATCTGTTGTGGAGAAAAGCTGGTATATCTGTAATGGAGCGGTTTCTCCTGTTCAGAGGAGCATTGCCATTTCCCTGCCACTCTGAGTAGTGCGTGCCCTTGCCGTGTAACCACCTCTGGGGGCTGACCTGATTTCACAAGTCTGTGCTATATATACACACACACATACATATACCTACATACAAGAGCAAAAAGAGCTCCAGCAAGTGTTCTCCCATCATGCACTGCACACTTCAAATGATAATTACATATTTCAAATTATCGTTCCTAACCTCACATTATATTTCCTCATTTCACATTGGACCACAAGTATTTTCACTGGTGTTTCCCTTTCTCTTCTTTTGCAGAGCTGACCCATGATCTTGAGATGAGGGAACTAGAAGCCAACCAGCAAGGTAAGAGGAAATGGCAACCAATCCTGGCCATCTCAAGATGGGAAAGGTCTTGGAGCAGCTCCAAAAGAGGAGCCCCTTTGTGCGCTTATTTCAGATGTCCTAGGAGCAGTTGTTTAGAGATTGTATTGTCAAAGGCTTTCAAGGCCGGAATCACTGGGTTGTTGTGTGTTTTCCAGACTGTCTGGCCATGTTCAGAAGCATTCTCTCCTAATGTTTCACCCACATCAATGGCAGGCATCCTCAGAGCTTATGAAGTCTGTTGGAAACTAGGAAAATGAGGTTTATATATCTGTGGAATAATGTCCAGGGTGGGAGAAAGAACTCCAGTCTGTTGGAGGTAGGTGTGAATTGGCCACCTTGATTAGCATGTAATGGCCTAGCAGTTTTCAAGGTATGGCTTCTTACTACCTGGGGAAATCCTTTGTTGAGAGGTGTTTAGCTGGCCCTGGTTGATTCTTGTCTGGAGTTCCCCTGTTTTTGAGTGTTGTTCTTTATTTACTGTTTTGATTTTAGAGTTTTTCTTTAAATACTGGTAGCCAGATTTTGTTCATTTTCATGATTTCCTCCTTTCTGCTGAAATTGTCCACATGCTTGTGGATTTCAATCCTTTCTCTGTGTGGTCTGACATGGTGGTTGTGAGAGTGGCCCAGCATTTCTGTGTTCTCAGATTATATACTGTGTCCAGGTTGGTTCATCAGATGCTCTGTTATGGCTGACTTCTCTGGTTGAAGAAGTCTTCAGTGCCTTTCATGTTCCTTGATTCGTGTTTGGGTGCTGCATTTGGTGGTCCCTATATAGACTTGTCCACAGCTGCATGGAATACGGTAGACTCCTGCAGAGAGTCTTGGCCTTTGGTGAACAGAGCTTTGGTTGGATTTTCTTCATGGGTTTGTAGATGGTTTGTAGGTTGTGTTTCCTCATCAGCTTCTCTATGTCGTTAGTGGTTCCCTTGATGTATGTTTAGAGAACCTATGCTAAACTAAATATATTTCTGCTACAAACTGGCAAAATCAATCCCCCTCCCCAACCCTACCAGTATTCAAATTTGGGCATATCAGGTATTTGTGCCAAATTTCATCCAGTGAATGGAAATACATTCTGCAAATCAGATTCTTACATGATGATTCATAATACGATGTTCCCTCACTTATCGCGGGGTTCCGTTCCAGGTCCTCCCGCGATAAATGAAAATCCGTGAAGTAGGGACTGCCCCCTCCCTCCCTCTCTCTTTCTCTGGGCAGCATACGCCCAGGCGTCAACAAGGAGCCTCCTCCGTTGGGACTATCCGTTCTGGAGACTTCTGCAGCACCTGCCTTCCTTGGGTGGCTCTTTTTCCGTCCGGCTGCTTCTGCTCCAGAAGTCTCCGGAGCAGATAGTCCCAGCGGAGGAGGCCCCTCATCGCTACCTGGGCCTAGGCTGCTGCCCGCCAAAGGCCGCAGCTCGCCTTCTTTGGGCCAGGGCCAGTTGGCAGGGGGGAGGTGCAGAGGTGGAGGAAGAAGGCAAAGAGGGCTACCACTTCCGGCCCAGCCTTGCGAGTCTCCCAAATCTGGATCCAGGCCATGCAGGGATCCATCCAGTGTTCCCTCACTACTTCTACTTTATGTTTTAAATTATTTTTTTTTAAACTGCAAAACAGCAAGTCTGTAAAAACCAAACCGTGAAGTCGTGAGGGACCACTGTAGTAGCAAAATTACAGTTGTGAAGTAGCAACAAAAATAATTTTATGGTTGGGGGTCACCACAACATGAGGAACTGGGTGAAGGGGTTGTGGCATTTGGAAGGTTGCTTTACATTTTTGACAGTTGTTTTCCTTGCTTGCTTTCCTCCTTTGTAGACATGATTGATGAAGAGCTTGAGGAAAAGTGCAGGATCATGGAGGCCCGGCTGGAGGAGAAGGAGAAGGACAACATGGAGCTGCGCAAGGAGTTGAGGCACAAGGAGAGCTTGGTGGCTGCCCTCCGGTCCAACCTGAGGAACAAAGAGCGGAAATTCCTGGAGGAGCTGAAGAGGAGAAGCCACCGGGTGACCATCCTCAACACGGAGTTGCAGAAGCAGACTGAGGCCGCGGCTTATCTCTCCTTTCAGCTCCACGCCACCAAACAGAAGCTCCATGGCTCCAAGCAAAGTGGGAAAGCCCTCCTGGAAAGGTCGTTGCCGCCGCCGCCAGAGAAAGCCTTCCTTCCGCCGCCTTGCAGTGAGACCAGGCCCAAAAAGCGGACTCAGAAATCTCATTCTCGCCGGTCAGCCGGCAGCGGCTTTCACAACAAAGGGGCCTTCAAGGACTCATCACCACGGGACAGGCTGAGCAGCTTCGAAGAGGCTGAAGCCATGCCTGACCCAGCCCTTTTTTTGTACACGCAACGGCACCATGCTCCTTCCCACCATGCAAAACCGGAACACAAGGCTCCCACAAAAGCGAGCCCTGAGCAAAGCGGTAGCAATATGGGGCGCCCCAAACCCTCACGCCAGGCTTCCCAAGACACGGTGGAATCTGCCGGTCGGGTCAGGACTTCGGGCAAATCGAGGCCGTCTTCCAAAGGGGAACCCCGGAAACGCACCCCCTCAGGCCCGCAAATGTCTAAAGACACCGACTAAGGGAAAGGGGTCGTGGAGAGCAAGAGAGAAGAAGGAAAACACACAGCCACGTCAAAGTGCTTTTCTGAAGGCGTCCTATTTGAGGCCGATCTTGCCAAGCAACACCCTGCATCCAGAGTCAGTTTTGGGGGAAATCCTCAGTCCTAAGGCATTGCAGATGCCAAATCCAACATCAAAACCCCCCTTTGCCCATGGGGTACAGTGGTGTTGCTCTGAACATTGTGATTCAACCTGAAGTGAATGTAGCCAGTGCCGCTCGCCATTGCGACGATGGGCGGCAGTGCGCAATATTCCAGCAAAGGGGATCGCTTGGTTGAACCTCCCATTTCTGTGCCTTGAGATTACAGCTTTGGGGATGTTTTTTGGGGGGTCCCCCTCATTTCAAAACCTGATGCAGGCTTCAAAACACGTGACTCGAAATCCCAATTTCAGTGGCAAAATGGATGCTTTGTCACTGGTCTCTGGGTTTTTGAGGATTCTGATTTTGTACAATACAGTGTTCCTTCGCTACTTCGCGGTTCGCTTATTGCGGACTCGCTTTTTCGTGGGGAGCAGCAAGGGAACACTGTATGGCTGCTCCCCCCTCCTTCCTCGCCAGGCTGACCACCAAAGGGGCCTCCGAGGTGGGGAGCAGCGGAGGCGGCAGGGAGGAGGCCACCGCCAAGACCCTCTTTGGCGGCGGCCTCCCCCTCCTCGCTGCCTCCGCCGCTCCCCAAGTCAGAGACCCTTCGGGCACCCAGCCTGGTGAGGAAGGGGCCGCCGAGGTGGGGAGCAGCGGAGACAGCAAGGAGGAGGAGACCGCCTTGAAGTAGGGACGCTCTGCCCACTCAAGTGGGCGAAGTATCCCTACTTGGCGGATTTTCACTTATCGCGGGTGGTCCTGGAACAGCCGCAATAAGTGAGGGAACACTATATGTCCCATTCACAATTGGGTATGATTTATATTTACCGTAAATACTCATGTATAACTCTAGAAGTTTTCACCCAAAGCAAAAACTTGGTCAACCACTCCAAGGCTCAGTGCGAGTACTGTACCTTAACTCGTCTCCAAAAAGGGGACTTCTCTGAATAGAGTTGCTACATCCATGACGTTGGGCTGCAAACTTTCCCTTAGCTTTTACATGAGGCTTACTTATACACAAGTATATACGGTAATGGTTTCCTGCTTTTTTTCCACCATCGTCTCCAGGCGAAAATGGCCATGGACCCATGGATGTGAGTATTTAGGGAGGCAAGTGTTGTGGGATGTGTTTTTAGAGCAGGGTATTCTATACAACGGCCTTTTATCCTCTTCCCTCGGAAGTTGGACAATCAAAACCAATTGCAGTAGTCTAAACCAGTGGTCCTCCACCTCGGTGCATATTTGGAGATCTAAAATTGGAAGCTTTTGGTTTAAACCATGTAGAATGTGAGTCATGATCATGGTTCTTTCTGGCTCAGGAAACGGGTAACTTTACAATTCAGCTGTGCTTGAATTACAGGAGAGGCCGAGAGGTTCAAACCCACTTCGCTTTCGAGTGGCTGTTTCCAGTTGCTAACCAAACTATATTCTGAATATTTTCTGGATTTTGAATTATAGTATGACTCCCCCATATCTTCAAGGGGGATGCATTCCAAGAACTGCCATGGATACTTGAAACTGAGAATAATTGCAAGTCTAATAATAGTAATAATAATAATATATTTATATTTATATTCCACTCTATCTCCCTGAGGGGACTCAGGGCGGATTACAGAACATATATACAGCAAACATTCAATGCCATTATACAATTAACAAGGACAGACAGTACATAAACAGAGGCAAAGGCTTTCCCATCTTTTTCCATTTCTGGCATCTAGAGGCTGTGCTCGACTCTGGCCATGGAGGGCGCTATTGCTCCATCTTCCGTGCTGAGAAGCTTTGTCATCTGTAGACATCCTCCCAATTGAATCGCCGGTGTATCTTTATGAGTGCTTTTTATTACCTCTCTACTTAAAGCAGTACCTATTTATCTACTCAAATTTCTGTTTTAGATCTGCTAGGAAAGCAGAAGCTGGAGCTGATGGCGGGCGCTCACCCCGACCTGGGGTTGAACTGTCAAGCTTTTGATCAACAGGATTTTCTGCACCTTAGCGGTCTAACCCGCTGTGCTAAGCCCATCCCCAATATTTTATATTTTGACTATATTTGAGCCAGAATAATCTCATAAAGGAGCCTACAAACACTTTATGGGGAGAGGTAAGAGATTATATGGATTCAGGGTGGATCACAACACATATACAGCCAACATTCAATGCCGTTATACACTGACAGGACAGACACAGTATCTAGCCTTTTCCCATCTTCGGCGTCCTGGAGGTTGTGCTCAATTCCAGCCACAGGGGGTACTGTCGTTCCATACTCCATGCCGAAGAGCCCTGTTCACCGTCTTCCTTCTTTTTTGATCTAATTTCTGGCATTTCTTCTGGTTTTCCTTGTGATGCCATTAAAATACCTCCCCGCTGAATGGTACCTGTTTATCTACTCACATCTATTTTTGATCCGCTAGGTGGGCAATGAGCTGGGCTGAAGGTTGGACGCTCACCCCCAACCCAGGCTTCAAACTACCAATGTTTTGATTGGCAAGATTTATTGCAGCTGGTGATTAACCTGCTGTGATAAAGCCCGGCCTTTATCCTTCCTCTAATTCAAGCAGTGAGTCTGAATAATCTACATTCCTGAGGACCCAAAATGGCCGAATTGCGTCATCTTCCTTCGGGTTTTTCCTTGTTTAGAGAATTTACAAAAGGCCACTGGAGACAAGTAAAAGTGCTCTCTTCCCTGACCAATGGTGATGATTATGTATAATATATATATATCTATATATATCTATATATATCAGCCTATGCATACGATGGGATTAAAGGGGAGGGGGGATAGTTTGTTCACACATTTGCACAGTAGTTTGTTCACCCAAGAATCGATTTTGCTGCCATAGAGTTCTAACCTCCAGCACATCTATACTCTTCACTTATTAGATGTAGAGTCCGGGAACTGGTTTGAGGTCTGGATGATGTCTATACGTAGTGCAAAAACCGGCCTCGAACCGGTCCCAGGATTGGTGTAGATGTCTCTATAGATAGCCTTGGTTCCAGAGATTGCTTTCCGTTTGGAAAAGGGGAAACAAATGAGACTGAGTGACAATCAAGATGGATAAAAGGGTCTGTTTGCCTTTTTTGTTATTGCTGGGACGGAAGCGTACAAAGCAAATCGACGAGGCCAAAAATATTATTGTGTTTGTTTAGCAAATTCACAGTAGCGGTCCAAAGGATTTGGCCTAGTCCACTTCGGGCAGCATGCTATACAATCACATGGTGGACCTGGACCATTCCTAGAGGGTGTATTTTTTCATATATATATATGTATTTATTTATATTTATATATTTATTTGCGGTGCGAGCCTCATATCTGTAGGGGATGTGTTCCTGAGATTCCTTAGAAATGAAATTCTGGGTAATAGCCTCAAACTCTGTTGAAATGAAGGACTTTTGCAGGACAGGTAGCATAGAGTTGCCCTGGGGGACATAATAAATTCCTAGAAAATGTATTTATTTATCCGCTCCTGCAACCACCTAAGGGGAACTGAACCATCTACCCTTCTGACCGCATCTGGAATTATTACTCTGAGGGTTATCCGGAAAGTAAGATTGCAAGATTATTTTAAAACACAAAGAATGATTCTATTTTAATAAAACTTGCATGGATTGGAGCATAGGGATTGCATTATTTTTCCACATAATCACCATTCCGTTCAATACATTTTGTCATCCATGGGACAAGTTTTTGATGCCTGTGTCAGAAGTTTCCCTCAGCCTTTTTCAGCCAGTTCGTCACTTCGATTTTCACCTCGGCGGCAGCAGCAGAAGGTTTTCCACCCAGATGTTCCTTCAATTGAGTAACTGGGTACGAGATGAGGGCTATGAGAGGGGTGGCTTAAAACATCCCAACCAAGTCAACCCCTCTTGTGTTGCATGAGCAGTGGACGGATGCGCATTGTCATGAAGGAGAGACACTCCTGCCATCAGCATCCCACAGTGGGTTTTTTTAATGGCTCTGTGATGCTTCTTCATAGTCTCACAATATATTCTGTACCCATTTTGTCACATGCTTTCTTGACATTACATCCTCTCCATAAACTGAAACGATTTTGCGATGAATCGCAGTGGCGTTCCTGCTCTTAGCATTTAGGTAGCATATTACAGCGCAAACTTCGCACTTGGAAGGAAACGGAATGAGGACGTTCATCTCTAACCTTCTCCACAACACTAGTTGATGAGCTACTGGCGACTGACACTGCTCATTCGCTTCCACTGGCTTCCCACTACATAGCAGTGATATCAACTTCCCCCACGAAAATTTCCCATGAGAGCTATGTGTCTTGTAATGTTACTTTCTGATGTCCCACGTACAGCACAAACTTTGCACTTGGAGGGAAACGGAATGAGGACGCTCATCTCTAACCTTCAACACAGTGCCAGTTGATGAGCTACTGATGACTGGCACTGCTCGTTCGCTTCCGCTGGCTTTTCGCTACACAGCAGTGATACCAACTTGCCCCACGAAAATTCCCCACGAGAGTTACGTGCCTTGTAACCTTACTTTCGGATATCCTGCATACAGTGCAAACTTCGCAGTTGGAGAGAAATGGAACGAGGATGCTTATCTCTAACCGTCTCCACAACACTAGTCGATGAGCTACTGATGACTGGCACTGCTTGTTCACTTCTGCTGGTTTCCCGCTACACGGCAGTGATACCAATTTCTCCCGAGAAAATTCCCCATGAGAGCTATGTGCCTTGTAACCTTACTTTCCAGATAACCCTCATGTATGACCCCAAAGAGATTATATGGTCTGCTTTATGACCTTAACACCATTTCTTGTTGACAGGCGGATTCCCATTTGACAGGGAAGAAGTCCTGAAATCTACTCTGGATTGTTTAAGTCATTGCTTCTTCGACTGCTGTGGGTCCCTTTGGCTCAGTGTCGGGGTCGGCGCATGC